GCAGGAAAGAATTTTCCCATATCAGATTTCAAAAAATGTCCTGTTCCACACCAGGCTGAAACCAAGGTGTTTAAAAAGTTGGTAACTCTGTGTTGTGTTTTTATTTTTTCCTGAAATCCAGCAAGAGACCCACCCCAGAAGAAACAATAGTTTCATGGTTCGGGTACTACCCAGGGATATAGGAAATCTATGTTCAAGTCTTTACTCTACTATTCTCCCCGTCACCATGCTACAGGCTATTCTGGGATAGGTTCCTATCAATTGCTTCTACTGGAAATGTTCCACTGTGGATAAATAATCAAATCAAAGGAATCTGAACCTGGGTCTCCCACTAAAGTTAGTGCCAAGTCCCTGCAGCCCTGTCATGTGCCCTTTGTGGCTAGGCAGATGTGACACTACAGTTAGTGCTGGGTCATGTCTACATGTGCATTAATGTACTTTAACTAGTCAAGCCTAAATTTGATACAATTTAGGTGTGATTAACCTAATTTTACCATTTTTAATGCAAATTAATTGTGTGCATGTGTAGATGCATGCCTGTAATATGCATTAAATTAGGCTAATGCAAATGAATGTGCCTTATGTAGACACACCCTATGCTTACTTTTTGGAAAGGGTAACTACTCAGGTAGGGAGAATGCTCAGTGTTCTCCAAGAATTGCCCTCTAATTATAATATGTGGAAAAGCAGCTGGTTGGTTTGGGGTGGGTTGGTAAAGGATCTTGGTTTTCATGAAATAGACAGCGAATCCAAGTATTTCATATACTTCCCAGAAGCAGCCAAGAGTGCTTTGGAGCTCTTCAATTGAGTAGGAGCACACAACAAAATCATCAGCATCAACATACTGAAGATCAGTAACAGGCATTACTTATCTTGGATGTGGAACATAGCTGGTTATTGTTAAAGAGATTCTCACCCATGCAACACTGGCTGCTGACTCTGGATAGAAGTCTATCAGCAATAAGATGCAGAATAGCTCTGACGCATGGAGAAGAGTGTTAGTGCAATCATCCATCCTTGTTTGACTCCAATTTTAATAGTGAAGGCATCCACTTCAGAGTAATTTCTTAGAAGAGTTGCTGTCTGTATTAAAAACTGACTGTATATAAGGCTGGGAATAGAAGTCACATCCCTTCACCCCTAATCGAGTCCTAGCTAATGGATGGGCTCTTATAGAACTAAAAACAGACTGGGATTTCCATATTGACACTGATCCCTGAAATCTGGCACACCAAATATAAACCATAAAAGGTCCCACCCCCGCAGCCTTCCTCCCCAGATTTTATTGCAACATTAACTGAATATGACAGTGAAAGAATATACATACTTTAAGTAGGAAGTGATTTGTGAATAAATGAAGTATGATTTGAAAATCTGATATAAGGACATCTCTATCAGTTTCCTGCCAGCAGAGAGGGACTGAATATTATTAATAAAAAAAAAAATCTCTGCATAAAATGAGAAGACGAAGAAAAGAATTCTTTAATTCAGGTATAGTCTACTTTTCTGATTCTTCCCCAACTATGATAAGAAATTTCCCTTAACAGATAAGTTATTTGCCAGTAGCTGCAGATGATTTATAACAGAACTCCTAATTCTGTATATTTGCATAATAAAATGTGTCGTCATTTTCATTTATAACCCTGATCTGGACAAAATATACTCTATTTCAAATGTTACTAAAGGCTGAAAGGAGTCATTCTGAAGCAAGGTAGGATGTTTTGTTACAGATGGATAGCTGTTGTAGTTTACAGGGGCTTCTTAGCAGCACTGCCGTGCAGCTATCTGGGTTTAAGGACAAAACTTAAAAGGGGTATCATTCTGTGTTTTCTGTATGCCTTGGAAAGGGGAAGGAGGAATAAATGATAATAATAAATAATCATTAATATAGCTCCATTTACCTATGGAGTCTGCTTTAACAACCAATGTAAATGCTTATACTGCAGTTACTCCACTAATGCTGAACTGTATGGGTGGTGGCATGATAGCTGCTGTTTACTGCACTGTAACAGTTAGGTACAGAACGTGAACACTTAGAATAGTGAACCCAGTTGAAACTACAGCTACGAAGAATAGAATGATACAAATCACTGGCATGTATAACCAGCAACAAACCAGACTTATTCACAAATATCAGTCTTAATTCTTGAAAAAATTAAGTCATGGGATTTTTAAATGACAGCTTCCTAACTGTTTAACACCATTAGGTTAGCATTGTTTCAGAGGAAAGGATGCCAGCTACCAAATGAATGACTTCTTGTACCTGCTGCACCTTCTTGTAAGTTACTTCTCAGTTTACTGGTCAAACCCAATAGCCTTTGATTATGAAATCTGACAAGATCAAGGGCCCAGGTGACATGTTGGCTAAACTCCATGCTTTCTTTGTTCTTGGAAAATCCAGGGTAGTCATTAGCCTGTGTGCAATGAGCTGTTTTCTTCAGCATATTTACTGTAACAAAATCAATGGCTGCTATTTGCTTTACCTCTTTTCAGGCGTATTTAAATGTAATAGGCATGCAAGGTGGTCCACCTTGGGAGGAAGAACCCACATCATACCTATAGGCTTGGCAGCACTACACTCAGTAGTACCACTCCTGAAAGAGACTTGGGGGTCATGATTAACTACAAGGTGAATATAAGCCACCAATGTGATGCCACAGCTGGCAAGTCAAATAAAATCCTGGCTTGCATCTACCAATGCATCTCAAGCAAGACCCAAGATGTCATCCTCTCATTTTACTCAGCCTTGGTGAAGACACAGCTGGAGTACTGCATCCAGTTCTGGGCTCCACGCTTTAAAAAGGACATGGAGAAGCTT